AGGTATACGAGCCAGATTCCGGCGAAAGGGTGGTTGTAAAATTTTCAAATAACCGTTTCCAGACTTATTCCCCGTTTTCATTCGGTCAATTCCGCCCCCGCCCCTTCCATCGACCGCTAATTCTTTCCTCTCCGTCGTAACCCCATTCCGACGCTCACGTAATCGAGCCAATCGCTCGTAAGAGGGAACAATGGAAGTTTCTCCGTGGATGTGGAAATTTTTTTTCCTCCGCAGACGGACGTTTACTCCCGCGGGCGGAGAGAGAGAGGGCGAGGCGTGCCATCGCGGAATATATCAGGAGTTTCGAGCACGTATAAAGTCCACTTTACGGGCGGCCCGGATAAAGAAAAGTTTCAAAGGCGAACGTATTATACGGAATTCCGTCGGATCGAAGGTTCGTGAAACGATATTTCAGGTATGTGATGAGAGGTGGCGAGAGACACAACGGTTGCCGCGTTGTTACGGTTCGCCGAAGTATCGATGGTCTCGGAGGAAGTTTGAATGTGCATTGCTGTTGGCACCAACTCGTCGCCCGAGTTCTTAACTGTTCTAATTCCGTTTTTAAAAAGAACATTTAGGTACATAGTCAATGTACGTGCGTCTTATTGGTCCAAAGAATACGAATTTACCACCTAGATAGCACATGACGTCTTCAAGACCCCCATTTTACGGCTATTTTAGGTCTAAGGTGCCTTTAAGCCGTCTTCAAGGCGTCATTGGGCGTCATGTGCTATCTGCGCATAATATAAAGAAAATTCAATCTAGAAACAAAACAAATATTTTTTTAAATCCTAATTCCAAAACATTGAAAGTGTTCTTTTTTTATTAATGGTTGTATCTTCAAATACTAATAACGATTAAAAATTGATGTTGATAATAAGATAAAATTTGGTTGAATATTGTAGTAAATAGCTATTCAGTAGATGATATTATAGGGTGTTTAATTGTTTTACTACTTTTCTGTTTCTATAATATTAATCTTCGTAAACTTTAAGCTCAGTTTTCTCAGTTTAGAAGCTAGTGGAAATAGAACAATTAAGAATGAGAGCGACAAACTGTATGATTTCTAGTGGGCTCTCTGACAGATATAATACCTTTCCTAATAACGCAAATACCAAATTTTCAATTTATCATTGTGTTATACAGGCTGCCCCATTTGAACATTTTCACGCAATTATCTCCTGAATTGTTCGTTATTCCAAAAAATGTTTTAAGGAGAACTGACTTTATTTCGAGGAGGACAACTTACGATGGTCACAATTCTTATGTAGGTGGACGTGCCCCAGAGATTTCAAGGTGACCTTTGCTATTTTAAACGGACCTGTAGGTTTTCATTTAGATAAATGTATCGCCCATTTCGTGACGAATTCATTGATCTACTATGTATGTTGGTCTTTCAAGGTCATTCAAATTTTACCTCAGGACTACATAAGTAACGATGTTTACCACCGAATCGACGAAATACTGCTGTAAAAGAAATCTTGGGGATGTTCAATGTCGCGTCCGTCCGCGTGGATTCTCTTTTGAATCCGCCTGGAGTTGTAAATTCCAGGCTCGACCGTCGTGGTACGCGTACAGTTGCGACTGTTGCCCGCCAAATTAATTTTAGGCAACTGATTCAATGTTCTCTCAGTGAGAATAAAACAAATGTCTGTTTGACCGATGAAGCGGATGATTTACGAGGTACTAATCGTGACTTGTGATACGATCGCGACAAATAGTTTAAGTCCAGAAGACTGTTCGAATACGACTGATGTTAGAGTACGAGTCTTCGAGTGCGAATGAATGTTGTCGATTGACTGTTCGATTGCGAGTGACTCTTAGTGTACGATTGATCGAATGCGAATGTTTCTTCGAGTTTCGTGTGACGTCGCGCTTCCTCCAAGTTCGATGAAGGCGTGACCAAAACTCGCCTCCTTATTGGTTATGCCCTGAAGGGGAAGGCAAATTTCTTGGTTTTTCCAAGCGACGTGGAGGTGGAATACCTCTCCTTCAGGGCGAAGCGGACGTCAGGAAAATATCGCGCACGTGGTCGCGGTGCGAGTTGACCGCGACGAATTTTCGAGTCCCTCAACGGTAGGGTTTATGAGTATATTGTCTGCGAGTCAGCGCGCCCCGGGAAGGCCCGGCGCGGATGGGTCCCAGGTTGCCGAGCGCATGAGGCGGACTGCAGACCAAATGTTCGCTTCTTTTGTCTCTGATTCCCTTTGTCAACGAAATCGAAATTGCAAGGGGTCGGTCTTGAAAACATATAAATTGACTGAAAGAAGGAATAAAATAATAAAAAGTAACGGTACTGTCTGACTGTATAGCCGTCGTTTCGGTCTACGACGGAACATTCAACAAAGGTAAGTTCTGAAAGGCAATAAATGATCTTGGATGATTTTTAAAGATATAATTTATGTTTCAGGTCGTTAGGATGTTATATGATATTTAATTTGTTTTAATATAAATTGATCCATTGTCCAAGAACAATATAAAACTGTTTGTGTTATATCATGGAATATTTTTGTAATACCGTCTTGCAGAAGCTCAACAATGGAAAGCATTGTGATTAAAAGAGCTACTACAAACAATGGTAAATTCATTAAAAGCAGTGAAAAACTGTCACTTTATTACCTTCTAAATAAAATTAAGCCAGTGTTGAAATGCAATCAAGAAAATATGTTCGTTTATCGCCAGATTGCAATACACACCAACTGTTGTTATCAAATTCCTTGACACGCTTCTAGTAAATCTACAAAAATCGATTTCACATCAAACTAACCCAATCAGTGTACATGGGTGAAGCACAATACATATAAGATGAATGTCCTAATCACATCACGAATATACATTAGAAAGGATGAAGTTTGTTTAAATATAACAAAGTTCTCTGAACGTACAATCCACTGACTACACGACCATCAATACGATCCACTAAATTCTTAGGTGTACCAAAAAGGAATCCACCATTTCTTTTCTATAAACTGGTAACAAAGTTTAAATTTAAAATATGTTTCTCCCCTTTTCACTTAACAAACTTTCCCCAATCACTTAACCCTAAAACTACCGACGATGACGGTCCACAAATACGACAAACTTTTGAAAATTTACAAATTTATAAATTAACTAATTTCTTCAATTTTCATATCGTAATAAAAGTTGCAAAAGATATAAGAAAATGGGTCGTTATAACATTTTAATCATTGTTACAAGAGTCTACTAAGAAGTCATTTTGACATGTTCAGTAGTTCTAGCGTTAAAACAGCATAGTCCTCTGATTACCCTGAGAATATCTATTAAACTTAATAAACCACACTGGATTACTTATCGGTACACCTGATAATATATGTATCAACAAATTCCCCTCGACCTGCCCCAAAAATCCCAGGCAGCTCCGTAGTACCCCGAGACCGGTAACAGCCTGGAACATTTAATATACATGGGATGTCGGCAGAGCAATCGATGGAACTTGCTTATTGGCAATTTGTCGAGTGATGAGATGGGATGTAGAAACCTAGTAACGAGGAGGTTGTTTTCCGAAGACGAGAGTGCCTTCCGGCGTAAAATCGGTCCCTATCCCCCCTTAACCCTCCCGCCAATCTGGCTATCGACTGCGCCGTGACCGAGACCAGGTTTCTGACAGGGTTGGGAGGCGCGAGGATGCCTTTCGCGGGATGCAATTTATCCTGTCGCATTAGGTTCAAAATAATTGATCCCCCGGGCGGGTGGCGGAATAGTGGAGTCGTTACTTCGGACCAATGGCACCCCCATCGGACCGTAGGAGAAATAAAAAAATTCCAGAGATCACCTGCTACAGATGAAAAATTTGACTGCCTCGGGGCCCTGAGAACGGGGATGGGCATTACCTGGGGGAGGAAAGGAAGATGAAACGGTAACCCTTGAACGGGTTGCCAGCAGCGGAATGAGTAATCCTGTGGCTGCAACACCGGGGGAAATTCGTAGCAAGGGATCGGGCGCGCTCGTCCATCTCTTTCTTGGCCCGGTTTGCCTCCGCCCTCTTGGCGATTTTGTGGTTTGTGCTACTGAGGAACTCGCGGATTCTATTTCGAGAAGGATTGGGAAATACCATATGAGTTTCATTCGAAACATTTTTTCGTATTTCTGATACCTACAGAAATAAGTGTAGACACTTAAAACGGACATACTGTATATTAAAATATACATTTATCTTGCGGCAAATCTTAATTTTTTTCGACTGTTAATGTAGCGTAAGTATTTGAGTTCTTTCGAGACAAGTACAGAATTCACCAGAGAACAGTGAGTTATTTATTAGTACACTTAATACAGCCAGCTTGACAAAGACTGCGATTGAACTAGATTCCGTTTGTTATATTATTCATTTAGGTTAAAAATCGAACTTGTCAAAAGATCACAACCTGTTTCTTACAATAGAGTAATTCCCGAAAATTCAACTCGTTTACCACTTTACTTGATCGGTACCCACTCGGATTAATTCGAAAGAAAATCGAGTATTCTATCGACTCGAAGTGTCCCAAATCTTCTGTTAACCTGTCCATCGTATCGTTCGCGAATACCATCGAGCATTCCGTGAAATTCACGCGCGCGACAACGGATTACCGTGCGACACAACCACGGCAAATCTGCCGTAATAATTGAATCGGGTGATGGCGTCAAATTTCGCGACATTTAATAGATATTACCGGGAATAATATGTTCCGTGACACCGTGGACGCGAAGAGTGCCGCGCGCCGTTTAAAATGAAATTTGTATTCGTGCGAAGGTCGCTTTCATATTCATGGTCTATTAAAATTCGCCAGCTCCGCGCAATAGGGTACCGGAATAATTGAAATCTGAATAAAACAGGGGGACTGAATTCCACGTAGCTGAACCGTGGCACATTGGGGGTGGGGGGGGGGGGGGGCGTAATTAATAATTGTAATAGCATGTTAGCGATCGCTTGGAAAAGAGACGCGGTGTATGTATGTGTGCGTATGTATATATATAATAATTTACTGAAAGGAAAAATCACTCACGTATATCGAGTGCTCGAACATCGCGCGGCGGACCGATCAGCGACAGAAGTGCACAGAGCTTGACAATTATTGGCAGGCAATCAGTCTTCATGGTTGTTGCGGTGCGGTGTCTTCATGGAAGCTCGGGGCAATCGTCTGCAAGCACAAACAAAATATTGGTACTTGTTATCCGATAGGTAGTACGTATTGTATAATATTAAAGCGAGAAACTTCAGGTTAGCGGCGTCGTTTTGGTAACAGCGCCGAACATACACAAAGTAGAGTCGTGGTACGACTATAACACGAGAAAGACGTGTCAAAGATAATTACTCCTCCTCTTTAAATAAACAATTGTTCTTTTTATAAATATTGGCTTTAATTTATTGGAGATTATGCCGCGCTCACGCAACAATATTTACTTTAAAATTTATTTGTTTTTAATCGACGGTTGAAAGTGTGTTGTTCTTCACCTGTAACTCAGCGTCGATATTTCCCCGAGACTAGTGTTTGACTGGTTCTGTAATTTATAACTAAAAACTCCTATTCGTTTCGATTTTACACAGCTATAATTTCAGAAATACTTTTTTAAAGATTTAAAACTTTTCTGAAAAACTTTACAGAAATGTCGTGTTTAACTTCTTTTAATGTTTAGACTTTAATTCAGTTTACTATGCTGGTGGTTCACTATCCAAGAGTAACCCCAATATATGTTCAGTTAATGTTATATGAAAGCATGTTAGAAGAAGATACAGGTATACTTTTATACCCCTAGGCAATATTGGTGTAACAGAAGACGTCAAGATGACTTGTTCTTAGTTAGCTACCATGTATTGCGAAATAATCGGTAAAATATCATTGTGTACCAGCGAGAAAGCCATTATTCTATTGTCAAACTACCACCGTATAAAAAAAACTACGTTTGTCCTTAATAGAATATACCTATAAAATACTGAAGACTTCCTAATCAAAATGGCAACTTTACACTTAATTTAGAATTCCATCCTGCATGACGTAACTGTAGAACCACCTTAAAATTTTAATTTCTTCTGTATTGTATTTAAAATAAAAACGGACCAAGTATGGAATGTCTAAAACCGTGTTGAGAAGCAATGTTTCTCCAGATAACGATAGATTATAATCCCTAGAAAACAAGTGGTTCGTTTTTATTTCAACTACAATACATAAGGATTGAAAATTTTAGGGTGGTTTCATATGTTGCTATGACACGCAGTGTATTTATACTCGATGTATATTGTCCCAAAATTTGTTCGTTCCATGGCAACAAAAGACGCCTGAATCCCTTCTTTACATTCTTTCTTATTCTCCACTACGCCACATTACTTTCGTCAACTAAACGTAACCATTACATCAAAATCGTATCGCAGCAAGGAAAAGACGGTTACACATTGTACAAGATATTCGCGACGAATCATCGATTATCGAGGCCCCCTTTCTCCCATGATAAATCATACTATTAAGGTTTCAAGGTAACACGATCTATCGGAGATAAATAACCCCCCGTAACTCAATATACATTACAATACAAAATACCGACATTCATCCCACAACCGTCTATCGTAACGGTCATCAATCTCTCTCCCGAGATACCTTATTGCGCCCCCTCACTTTTATTCCGCACGACACGCACACCGTGCTCCTTCGTAATTCAACCGATATCGTTCCCATCCAATTTCACCTCTGTTGTCCTTGGATCGGATAAAACCATCGATCCCGTGACGCGGTCACGTATGGAGAAGGGGTGGTTCTCCGAAAAATTTTCAACCGTCCCGCCGACATATTTCCCCCGTTGGCGTAGGCGGGTCACAAGGGATTGGGGCGTTAGAGAGAATGAAAAAGAGAGAGGAAAAAGAGCTTAATCGACTTAAGGGCAAAACCACGGGCCACTGAGGCCAGGTGTTCCTTTTGCTTGGCACGAGCCTTCGACGACCCAGTCAGCCTGTGGGCGGGTGGGTCTCTCTGCGGGTACGTGTGTCGCCTAGAGAAACACATCGAGAGAGACCGGACTCGTAATCGAGTCCCCGCCCAATTAGCCGAACCTTGCACTTTTTCTTCCCTCTGTCCGCGGCGCGAGCAACTCGAAGAGCGAGAACGACGACACGGAAGAAGCCCAGGCGTTTCTTTTATCCTTGCTCCATCTTCGCCGCGACCAGAAACGGAGCTTACGGTCACACGTGTGCCGTTCGATGGACACGAGTGATCCGGAGACGGAACGAAGAAAGGAATCGCGCTTCGGACTCTCGTGGGCATTGGACAAAGGGTAATTAATCACGTGAAGGGTAATTGATTGGGAAGGAAAGTCGAGGATGTGACCGGTTGGGCATACAAAAAGTATGTAGAAATGGTAGAGTAAATATCCTTCTGAGCAAGATTGTGTTTTTTAAGAAATTTGTTAAGTGTTTTCGGTCATTACTTATAATAGGAGACTCCTAACCAATTTGGTTGACCTTGAAATATGTTGTCAAGGTCATCCCTAGTAGCACAAAATATTGAATACATAATCATCCCATATTAAAAAGAGATTCAATCTCCTTTTAATATTTATATATACATACAATGTTTATTTCATATTACGAAAAAAATTAATATTTATTTAATATTGGCAGCAAAATATTTTGTGGTACAATATATTTAAATTCGATTTGCCTAAGTCATTATGTCACGAACCCTATATACATATAGATTGAAAAATAATGTCAGAATAATTACCGCGTTTTCTTGTCCATTGTCGATCAAACCGTTTGGAATTAGAAAATGGAGCTTGTTATAATCTCACAACAACGGGAAGTTCGCGATTTCCAGATTGACTGCGGCTGGAGGGTTAAACAAACGACTTTAAATAATTGTGGACGATTAGAACAGTAGGGGAGATTGGGGTAAAACCGGAACCCTGAGAATGAAATTTCATAACTTTGGCATTAGTAAAATGAGAAAGAAACTGTAATTGTGGTTTATTAAAAGCATTTCTACACCAAACAATAAGACACGCCTAACTTTCCAGAAGGAAAACGAAAAAAGGAAAGCATATTTAAATATACTTCGCGTATACAATTTTGGTCCGTAACCTGAATAAAATCGGGTACCGTACCCGATATGCTCCCCTAACATCTGTGACAACGGAATTCATCCAATTTTACAGATCTCTAACCACATTATTACACTTTAATACACGACAAATAGCATAATTTATATAAAAAAAGTATATACCTAACGTTGTTAGCAGTTTTGAAGTTTTAAAACAGACGAAAATTAGTTCACAGCACTGAACACACAGAAAACATCCTAATCCTAGGAAGCACACGTGTATTACGATTAACGGTTGTTGATACACTGATGCAAATGGCAGGAATATATGGCTGCAACGACTTGGTAAAAGTAAGAACCATTTTGAAAGTGGTAGGTCCCAGTTTTATTCAGGTACCCAATTTTGACGGGTCACCCCTACCATATCTCATCCAACGAGTCGAGTCAATGATTTTAAACAAAGGAAGGTGATAATCATTCAGGTGGGAGAGAGACAGAGACAGTTGCCAGCTAATAGCTGGGATTACCACGCGAATGTTTTGGTTATTTTCACTGACTCGTCTTGTTGGACAGACTATAGTACCTTCTTTTTACTAAAATTGTGAACTTCGAAAAAAAGAAAACTTGTCACATTGAGTGCTTCTTCTGAGAATTGTCTAGTGTTCCTAATTTTCTTGTCTGACTGTTCCTGTCTGTCGTGTTTGATTATTGCTAGATATTTCCATTTCTACTAATTATTGATGGTACATTAGTATTTGTTCTTCATCGATCCTACTACTACTGTGTCATGTAAGTTTATACTAAATTGTAACAAATAATAGCATACTACTTTCAATGTTTATAAACATTAACAGAAGTAGAAGTAATTATTAATAGAATGGCTGGATATTCAGTAGATAGTGAGCGTATCCAACGGAATATCTAATAATTAATTTTTATATGTCAATAGTAGAAGTGTAATAATAGATTACATAATTTGATTTTCTGAGATCTGAAGCTCCATATGAATTTTCTTCTATACTTTTTCGTTGGTATTTCAAATAAAATTTTGTTCTTTTTGGATGTCCTATGAATTATGACACATCGTGTACATGTGGTAATTAATCGGATAGTGTTGTATTGAAGAAGCAGATGCTAAATGGATCCTATTTACTATCACGTAATTAGCTGAGGGCGCTTTGAACCATGTCGAATGCTCTTTCATGGACTCTGTTGATAGGTCATATATATCTCGTTTACCTGGGCGCGTTTAAAGCCGCCTCTACCACTGCGATATCGATCGTACGATACAACGCCTGTACCTTGTTATCGTGTGTACGATAAGTTCATAGTATGTAATACACTTCATCGAAGACATTTGCCGTCATTACTATAATGCTGTGTTACATAGTTCACGTTTAAATTCTGTAATTTCGTTTCAGGAGTATTTTCAGCGAAACTGCTGTACGCTTATTACCAGTAGTGCGCTATCGCATAAATTTTACTCTTCTGCTTTAACTATTTACAATGGAGAAACAAAAATAGCAGTGCTGGTATCGGAAAAACGAAGGAAATGTTCAAAATTATACAAGTAAGTATTAAATGGGTTTCCAATAAAATTGTTAAAATAAATAGATTCCTAAACACACAAATATTATATTATTTACTAAATATCAATAGTTAGTTGAATGAGCAAAGCGATTTCTTGTACTTTTGTGATGAATACTACTCCTTTCACCTTTGACATTAAGAAATAATATTTTTCATGTATATTCTATACCACCTGTAGGTGTGCACAATCTATAAAACAGCGTACTCCCTTAAAAAACAAGTAACCCCTTAATTTCTCACCTGCAATTACATATGTATGTATTTTCCTTTTCATCTGTGATTTGATCTTGGTAACAATTGCTGGTAAAAAATTGCATTAATATATAATAATACTTGAAAGAATAATATTATTAATACTTAAATATTAATAATACTTGAAAGAAATAATAAATAACTTTCTCTCTTAACTGTCTGATACCTTACAGTATACTCCTCGGCACTGACAAGGAGAGATCCCCAGGTGTAACGCTGACTTCTTTT